AAGAGATACTTGGTCTGTTTGAAAGAACGATAGCAGAGTACGAGGAGGAAGTTTCCGCTTTAAAAGAGCAGAACGAGCGACAACGGAGACTACTGGACGCTGTTTTCAACCCTCAGCTGCGGTTACACAGAGCAGGTTGGTTCATTTTATTTATTAGGGCCCAAATCTGTATTGCCCCTCGCTGCGCGTTCGCGTCGGGACTCGGGGCTCTACAGGCGAGCGCGAGCACTTCTCCTCCAAGACCCGTTTGAGAGGAGAACTCTGGCGGAGAAAGAGCTGATCCCAGATCAACCTGACCTCACAATCAGACAGCAGACTAGCAAGCAGTACATGCGAAGCTTCTCCAGTACCTGTACGGTGTACACCAGGTTTGGCTAGCTGGATGCAGTCATGCTAATGCATTATTTAGCTTTTTAAAACAACGGGACAGATCCAGCACGGAAGGTAACGGGACTGAGGGATGAGGAGGTAAGGAAAGATGAGAACACCAGGGCACACATGGAGAACTCTGTCAGCTAGCCATATTAGGCAAAGTGAGCATCTTTTCTTCTACATAGTTGTCCTCAGTCTCATTTGCTTAACTTGGTCATGGAGGCATCAACATTTAATTGAGATGGTAAATTAACTGTGAAAACTCATCATAGCTTAATTTAACACCATTATTCATAATTACACTTCATGTTTACTTCTCCTGATCTTTACCTCTCTATAACAAGGTCCATAGGGGCATCTCAATAAATAAACATGTTATATTATATTATATTATATTTAGTGCTGGGCAATGATTACAATTTTTAATCTCATGAGTTTTCTGCCATTAATAACATTGTTATTGGCAAAATTCAATAATTAATTCAAAAGTAGTGTATTGCTCATTTTTATTCAAAAAGTACTGCTAAACATCGAACAAAAAGTTCGGAAATTCATGTTTGGTAGATTATTTCTCTGTTGTAACAATGCTTCTTGGCAATAAATGTTATACCGTTGGAAAGCCTGTTTATTTACCTTTCAGACGGTGCCCCATTTGTAAGGAACATGCATTTGTAGGATGAGCAGCACAGCTGAGTATGTGAGTTGCGCCCATGAAAAATTTGCCAAATCTTCTCTGCCAATGCCAAACAGCGTAATCTGCTGTTGCTATCGACTCTTGTTTGGTGGATTGGATGATTGAAGTCTATCAGTAACAAGAAAGAAACAAGACATATTGGCAATTTTACAATTTATTCATTGAACAAACAGGAGCCTCATTAGTGTGTGGAAGAACCATACACAGCCACAACAGCCTGGCACCTCCTCCTCATGCTGGTCACCAGCCTGCTCACACACTGCTGTGGGATGGCATTCCACTCCTCAAGCAGGATTTGTCGCAAGTCAGCCAACGTGGTTGTGTTGGTCACTCTGGCACGAACAGCTGGTCCCACAAGTGTTCACTTGGGTTGAGGTCAGGACTGTTGGCAGGACCATTCCATCCTCTCTACTCCCAAATTCTGGAGGTAGTCTCTGATAAACCGCTCTGTGGGGGCGAGCGTTATCCTCTTAGAGGATGGAGTTCGGTCCCAGACTGTGGAGAAATGGGATTGCCACTGGTTGCAGAATCTCATCTCGATATCTCTCTGTATTGAGATTGCCTCCAATGAAGACAAGCCTTGTTTTTCCAGTGATGGAGATGCCGCCCCACACATCACACTGCCTCCACCAAAAGGTGTTACTCTATCGGTGCAGCAATCAGCATAGCGTTCTCCCCGTCTTCTCCACACTTTGACCCTACGATCCAACTTCCTTAGACAGAATCTGGACTCATCGCTGAACATAACGTTCCTCCACATGTTCAGGTTCCAGTGCAGGTGTTGCCGACACCAGCGCAAACGGGCCTGACGGTCAATAGCAACAGCAGACTAAGCTGTTTGGCATTGGCAGAGAAGATTTGGCAAATTTTTCATACATCAGTATGTTCAGTATTGTATGAAATATAACTGGTATCTTTATGCATGGCAGTGGCACTAATACGCCATCACTCATTTTCGTTTCCACATTTATGTTTAAAAGAACATCAGTTTGAATAGCTTGTATGCATGATTATCATGCAATTGACAGACAATGTTGATATTGACATTGGTATCAGTTGACAAGGTATGTTTATAAAAGGCAGTAGCACGGCCACCCTACTCACTGTACCTTGCACATGTTTAAAATAAAAACATGAATATATGAACCTGTGAATTATTTGAATAGCTTAGTATTGAATGCACAATAAAGAGGTATGTTTATACATGGCACTAGGCCCAGTTTAATATAAAACACAATTTTATACAATATATATAGTCGGGGGTCCCTGCTCCATCTCTCTATAAGTTTGGGGGTCCTTGGCCTGAAAAACGTTGAAGATCCCTGCTTTACACAGTAGCAGTTAAAATACAGTTATGATTCTGATAATAGATATTCAGCCAGTGTTCACAACTTTATCTTCATGTGTGTAATAAATGCAATTTGAAATATACACCTTGAAAACTGCAAACCTATCTACGTCATGTTTTCTTTTTTTTTTTGTTGTTTGTTAAATTCTCAGTCATCATCATTTCCCTTTATGCCTCTTGGCATGTAGGGCAGCAACAAAAGTCTTCCACTCCTGTCTGTCCTGGGCGAGTCGCTGGATGGTGCCCCATGAGTGGTTTAGGCTCTGCATCTCCTTCTCCACTGTTCTTCTCCATGTGTTTCTTGGTCGGCCTCTTTTTCTTTTCCCTTCTGGTGTCCAATGTAAGGCTGTTCTTGTAATATCAGCAGGATCTTTTCTCAGCACATGTCCTATCCATCCCCATCTTCTTCTCATTAGGATGGTCTCCATGCATTCTTGTTGGCATTTGTCATACAGTTCTTTATTTGAAATGGTGTTTGGCCAGAAAATGTGCAGTATTCATCTTAAACTCTTGGTGTGGAAGGTTGATAGTCTGTTGAGGTCTTCTTGTGTCATTCTCCAGCATTCAGAACCGTACAATAGGGTGGATAATACACAGCTCTGATACAATTTAAGTTTGGTCTTGATGGTGTACTGCTGTGACCTCCATATGTTATTCAGTACTTTAAAAGCGTTCCTTGCCTTATTAAGACGATTATTGATGTCTTTATCTGTGCCCCCATCGTGTCTGACAGTGCTGCCCAAATATGTGAACTCGTTAGTTTTAGGGAGATCTTCTCCGTTAACCTGAATTGGTGAGGGATTGGGAATGTTCAGTCATCACTTCTGTTTTCTTTTTGCTGATCTTCAGGCCAATCTTCTGACCAAAATCACTGAGGCGGGATGTTTTTTCCTGCATGTGTCGATGAGTATGTGAAAGAAGAGAGAGGTCATCTGCATAGTCTAGATCTTCAAGTGATGAAAATAGTGTCCATAGAATGCCTCTATTTTGGTCTTTAGTTGTTTATTTCATTACCCAGTCAATAGTAATATTGAAGAGCAAAGCTGACATCACACATCCTTGTCTCACACCTTTTTACTTGGAATTTTTGGAGACTGTTTCCAACCCTGCATGTGAAGTTGGTATAAAAACTTTGGATCACATGAACTATATCTTCAGGGATCCCATAATGCCGCAATATACGCTAAAGGCTTTCACGATGAATGGAGTCAAATGCTTTTTCAAAGTCAACAAAGTTTATATACAGTTACCTCTGCCACTCTGTGCACTGCTCTATGATGTTACGTAACGTGAATATGTGATCGTTGCAACTTCCACCTTTTCTGAAACCTGCCTGTTCTTTTCGGAGATGTTGCTCTACAGCATCTGTTATTCGATTAATAATAATCTTTGCCATGATCTCACTTGGTATTGACAGAAGTGTAATTCCATGCCAGTTGTTACAATTTCTTAGAGAACCTTTCTTTGGTAATTTGATGATGATCCCCTCTGACCAGTCATCAGGTATTTTCTTATTCTCCCATATAGACGTAAAAGTGGTTGAAGAATTGTTGCTGCCAGATTCGGGTGTGCTTTGAAGAGCTCTGCATTGAGGTTATCTGGACCCCAGGGGTTTTCCTGTTTCTTAAGGATTTAATCACCATTATAACTTCATCTTTGGTTGGTGGTTCAATGCTGATATCCAAATCTGCTTCTGCATCTTGGATGTTGGCCTGTGTTGTTGGTGGAGGCCTGTTCAGCACCTCGCTAAAATGCTCCGCCCATCTAGCTTCTTGGTCTGCTAACGTTGTAAGAAGCTTTCCCTGTTTATCTTCTGTTGGTATATCAGATGTCCCCATGTATTTGCCGCTAATAATCTTGGTTAGCTTGTAGACCTTTCCTTGCTCACCTTTTTTGGCTGCTTCTTCTGCTTGTTTTGCAAGGTCATCCATATATTCCCGTTTGTCAGCTCGCGTCTTCCTCTTCACAGCCTTGTTTGCATCTCGATATTGAGTTTTATATCTTTCTTTTAGCCTATCTGGTTTTGCTTCCATGACTTTCTTCTTTGCTCTCTTGCGTATATCAATGGCTTGCCATGTATCATCGGTTATCCACTCCTTTCTATCCTTCTGTTTGATGCCCAGACTTTTTTTTACTGGTTTCTAGATATGCTTGCTTTGCTTGTTCCCATTTGGTGTTAATCTCATCTGTATATGTGTCTGTATCCTGTTGCATATCACTTTGGTCAGATAATGCTTGAAATCTATTCTTTAACTGCACTATGAAGGTGCTTTTCACTTTAGGATCTTGTAACTTTTCAGTGGCAAACTGTTGTCTTCCTATCTTTCTGCTACCAGTTTCCTTAACTTTACTTTCAGCACTGTTTACTGTTTTCCTGCAGACGTCCAGCAGCTGTTGGTAGTTAAAGAAGAGGTTCCCCCTGAACAGCAGCAGTGGAGCTCCAGTCTGGACCAGGAGGACCCACAGCCCCCACACATTAAAGAGGAACAGGAGGACCCACAGCCCCCACACATTAAAGAGGAACAGGAGGACCCACAGCCCCCACACATTAAAGAGGAACAGGAGGAACTCAGGACCAGTCAGGAGGGAGAGCAGCTTCAAGGTCTGGAGGAGGCTGATGTCAAGTTCTCATTCACTCCTGTGAAGAGTGAAGATGATGAAGAGGAAGCTCAGTCCTCACAGCTTCATCAAAGACAAACTGAACAGATGGAAACAGATGCTGATGACAATGGAGACTCTTCTGACACTGATAACAGTGGTGATTGGAAGGAGACCAGAGAACCTCAGTCAGGAAAACTATTTACATGCTCTGAGTGTGGGAAAACAACTGCCACGAGTGGAGATCTGAAGACGCACATGAGAATCCACACAGCAGAGAAACTTTTCAGCTGCCCAGTTTGTAAGGAATCTTTTAACCATTGTTCAACTTTAAAGACACACATGAGAATCCACACAGGGGAGAAACCTTTCAGCTGCACAGTTTGTAAGGAATCTTTTAACCATTGTTCAACTTTACAGACACACATGAGAACCCACACAGGAGAGAAACCTTTCAGCTGCACAGTTTGTAAGGAATCTTTTAACCATTGTTCATCTTTAAAGACACACATGAGAATCCACACAGGAGAGAAACCTTTCAGCTGCACAGTTTGTAAGAAATCTTTTAACCAGCAACCACATTTACAGACACACATGAGAATCCACACAGGAGAGAAACCTTTCAGCTGCACAGTTTGTAAGGAATCTTTTAACCAGCAACCACATTTACAGAGACACATGAGAATCCACACAGGAGAGAATCCTTTCAGCTGCACAGTTTGTAAGAAATCTTTTAAGCAGTGTTCAAATTTACAGAGACACATGAGAAATCACACAGGAGAGAATCCTTTCAGCTGCACAGTTTGTAAGAGATCTTTTAACAATCGTTCAAATTTACAGAGACACATGAATAACCACACAGGAGAGAAACCTTTCAGCTGCTCAGTTTGTAAGAAATCTTTTAAGCAGCGTTCACATCTACAGATACACATGAAAACCCACACAGGAGAGAAACCTTTCAGCTGCTCATTGTGTGATGAAAGATTTCGGCACAAGTCACTTCTGAAGTTACACATAATTACTCATACAAGAGACAACCTGCTTTAGTGGTTCTGTTTGTATGCAAAAGGTAAATCTGACACACCACATGGCACATAACGAAATGGCGCTTTTTTCTTATCTTTATTCGAAAGCATGTTTTAATTTGAGAGCATTGCCATGTTCAGATTTTGAATTGTTTCCCTTAAAACCCTGTCCTCACACACAATTAGCCCCCGCTTGCGATCAGTGACGCAATAAACCTTGATTGCTCTGAGAGATCATGCTTTGTTTAAGGTGACGCCTCCTCACGTTGGCAAGGAGCTTAGTGCTGTCTTTAGTTTGATCCAGTAGACTAAGGCTACATCCACACCGATACATTTTCGTTTTAAAACGATCTCCGTCCACACAGCGTTTCAGCATAGTTTTCGAGATGATGTCATTCCAGACTAAAACGCCTGAAAACGAATATCACGTGACTCTTCACGTACACTGGGTATGCGGGTGGGTGCCGATGTAAACAGGAAGTAGATTGGTTGCTTAGTTTAAAAAAAATACAACGGAGTAAAAAAGTTGTCTTTAATAATGAAAGGTTGTGTTTGATACTTAAGATCTTCTCTGAAATCTTCCTCTACAAACTCAGACACATTTCGTGGAAAGTTTTATTTTTAAGACTTAGTTACAACGCTGTGGGTCTCTGTCTCTCTCTCACACATCACATTTACTTTAAAATCAACACTTACAGCTAAAAGTTTACTCGATTATGGATCAATAAATGTGGTCAACACACGTCTCTCACTCGTTTCCTCGGTTTCATTGTTTCTGTTCTCACTCGTAGCTCTGCCGGTGACTGAAGTCTCTGTCCTAGTGGAGAGCAATTCATGTTTTGTTCCTTTATAGTTTATCAGCGGACTTCGCAATAGTTGTGCAGAACAAAATAAGCATAAATAAGAAAAGGAAAGTCCTCCATTTTGTGTCCGTTCTCCAAAACGCCGCTAACCGTGACTTCAGACGTTCGCTCTGTAGGTCTGATAAACACCGCTGGACACGCCGCTCACTAATTGCTCCGATAACAGCTGCTTCCTCCACAGAAATGCAGACTTTAACTGAACAACAGCTGCTAGCTAGTAAAGATAACAAGGTCAGCAAGACCTGTAATCAGTAATCAGTGATCCATGTTAAATGAACCTGGTAGTAGATCGGTAATCAATGTTGTTGTTTGTGATCTTTTGGGTAAGCGTCACGTGAAAGGGGTGTGACGAATCAGGGAAGGACACGTCGTGACTGCTAAGAACCAATCAAGTAGCGAACGCGGGTGTCAACGTCATCGTTTCTAAACGTATCCGTTTTCGACCGTCCACAAGAGGTAACCCCGGCGTTTTCAAACTTATCAGTCCTCGGGAGCGTTTTCAAACAAATCCGTTGTCTGTGCTCAAACGCCAGCGCAGTGTAAACGTAGCAAAATATATGCATTTTCAAATGGAAACGGAGTAGTGTGGACATGGCCTGATTGAGTTTTTATTTTCTAGTTAGTGTTGGTTTTCTAGAGGGTTCCGGGGCACGCTCACCTGGAAGAAAATGTTGTACATTTTAAAGATAAATGCATCTTTGTGTTCTTGAAACAGTTTTGTGCTCTTCTTTTAGCGGTGTTGGAATGTAACTAAGTACATTAACTTAAGTATTGTACTTGACATTTTAGAGGTACTTGTACTTTACTTGAGTACCTGCAGCATTAAAGTGTTCAATTAATGATAATTTTTAAATGATTTTTCATGAATTGATTAATGTATAATTTTATATACTCTTGAGATGAAAATTGTTTCAGATAAGTAAATGAAGTAACCGTGGATTGAATAACCTGTTTTGTTGTTGTCAAATATTGCCAATATTTACAGCTGCTGACACCGTTCCAAGCTTAACATTTTTAGCTCTGTCAGCACTGTTGTTGTTGTGTGAACTGTTGCACCCTTGTTGCCATATTGAGAGCCGTGCGGAGGCGATCCTTCAATCATACATTTGTTCTGAGTTTGTAATTCAGCAGCTTTAAATGTGTTTTTTATAATGTGGTTTTGTACTTAATTCACACTGTTTTCATCCTGTGGCTACAGTTTGTTAAATGTATGTGATGGTACTGATTTTTATTGTTTGAATAACTTGATATCTGATTGAATAATAAAGGCATTCAGTTAGTAAATTGTTCCAGCTGTCAACATATTTATGCAAGGTGGTAAAATTACGGGGGAACCAGCTCCCTTATAAGAGACCTTAGCTCTCCTGAACATAACAAAAGTTTAAGTTTGGCATCTCCAAAAAGTGTAAAACCATCTACACTGAATGTCACGATGTTAAGTGACGGCAAAGCTGTTATCAGACACCATGAGAAAACCCTAAAACTAGTCTATACTGAAGCCTCCACCAGTCATGTGACTCTCACCTTGCAGGTCATAGTGGTCTGTTGAGTCTCAGCAGATGGAGTTCTCAGGATGCTGCCTTCTATGTTTCACCCTTTACAAAACCAAAAACATGAGAAAAAGCTTAAGGACTGAATTAAACAGCCTGTTAATCTGCTATAGTGTTAGCTGCAAGAATTAGCACGTCTTGCTAACGAGTTTACTACTACAGTAGTAACCAGTGGTGAAGGAAGTATTTACATCTTGTACTTACCTAAAAATAGTAATACTGTTACAAGTGAAAGTTCTTCATTCAAATATTCACTTGAAAGTACAAAAGGATTAACAACATCTACTCCAGGTTAATTTCTAAATAATATATTGTATATATGTATTATATATTATTATGTATATATTATATATTTACATATTAACGATATCAACGACTACCGACCACTTGCCCTCACATCACGTGATGGAGAGGCTGGTCTTGGCCCACCTCCGACCGCAGGTGAGATCATCACTGGACCCTCTGCAATTTGCATACCAGCCTCATGTGGGAGTGGACGACGACATCATCTACCTGCAACGAGTTCACTCCCTTCCTGTTCACCTTGTACACCACTGACTTCCAGTACAACTCAGGGTCATGCCATCTGCAGAAGTTCTCTGATGACTCTGCAGTGGTCGGGTGTATAAGGGACGGGCAGGAGGAGGAGTACAGGGCAGGAGTGGATGACTTTGTGGAGTGGGCCGGTAGAAATCACCTGCTTCTAAACGTAGCCAAGACCAGAGAGATGGTGGTCGACTTCAGGAGGAAGACGACGACTCCACAAGCGCTGAGAGTTCTGGGAGAGGATGTGGACATGGTGGAGGAGTACAAGTTCCTGGGTGTCTCCATCTACAACAGACTGAACTGGAAGGCCAACATCAACGCTGTGTACAAGAAGGGGATGAGTCGACTCTTTTTCTTGAGGAAACTTCGATCCTTCAACGTGTGCAGCAAGATGTTGGAGATGTTCTACCAGTCTGTTGTGGCCAGTGCACTGTACTTCTCCTTAGTCTGCTGGGGGAGCAGCATTGGAGCCGGAGACACCAACATACTTAATAAACTGATGAAGAAGGCCGGCTCCATCATTGGCTGCAAACAAGACACTCTGGAAACGGTGGTGGAGAGGAGGACACTGAAGAAACTATTATCCATATTGGATAACCCGGACCACCCTC